AGCCTATGTTCATTTTTCCTATCCTAGATATTGAATCACATTCGTCTAGAAGTCATCTCCATGGGCTAGCAATAGAGCCCGCAGGGAGCGTTTGACTAAACGCCGAATTTGTGTAGGTGACCCTTAAGCATGCAGCCTGCTATAAGAATGCGTGTGAGGATTCTTAAATTCTCCTTTTGGGAGATTAATTAGAAGTTTTAATACATTAAATTGTATTCTCCTGTAGCTTTGTCTGGACTGCCACTACTTAGATCTTGCGCAAGGAACTCATTTCCAAAATTACCTTATTGGCACCACAATTAAGGCCCCTCATATGACCTTTATAAATCCACGGCTCTTAAACCATTATTACGCTCAGAACCTCCGTGATGAACCTGCTCGCGATTACTGCCGAGGTCGCTTCCGCGTGGTTTGACGCGAGCTTTGGCCATGATTATCGCTTGAGAAGTGTTTGTAATAATTGTTTAACGTAGCCATGAATGAGGACTTCTTCTATCTACTTTAAAATTGTTTCTATATACTTTCTTTTATGGTAAGCAAGTTGAAATTTAGATATCCGATTTCGAGGATCCCATTTGTTAAGTATTGGTCTGTGAGACTTTCCAGCGTTTCAAGAACAATCGAATACATACTAACAGAAGCGCGCTGACGCCCTCTAAGCTCTGCGGATATATGTAAGTAATCATTCTCTCGAAATTTGTTTAAATCTAAATATGCCTGTCTGGTCGACATTTCGACAGCAGAAATGATGGTGTCCGGTCCACTGGAATTGAAGGGTTTGAACAAATTCATCGCCTATTATCCAGGCAAAGCATTCTACTATTGATGGTTTACAAGAAAAATGGGTGTAAAGACGTTCTACCAAGTTCACACTGCTCATAGTTCGATTTCCTGTCGCGTCCCTCAAGACCTTGGATATTCTAAAAGAACATATAGTCATCCATAGATAGCGCGATCATCATTGCAAATGTGAAATTCCACAAGAGCAGCAAAAACTTGTTCGATTTATACAGGACGCTATCCTTAAGCTTGACATATCCGCAAAACGAATACGACTATAGAGATTTACGTTTGCTCAAACTAAAACTCGATCCAAATTGGGAAGGACCCCTTCGAGTTATTTGAGGCCAAACAAGGTTTTAGACAAGACTAATCACTTTCGTGCAACTTCTTCAATGTTATTTTGGAAAGCTTAATTTGAGCTGCCAATCTGAGTCGCAGTTGCACTATACAAATAACTAAAGATACGTGCTATTGGCGTATGTACATGATATTGGCATCGTCGGTCTCAACTAAAAAAAAAAACGTTCAACGTAAAGATGGAATGAGCCTGCCCAAAACTATACAATGGATCTATTTGATTTATGGAATTAACAATGACAACCACTCTGCCAATTAAATAGATAGTAGTTGGTCGAATAAGGGAATGGATTAGCAACAAGAGTTTACGGGATGTGCATATGTAGCTCAGTGGTTAGCGCTTATGACTTTGTACATCGATTATGCGGGTTCCATTCCTGCTGAAGTCTAGGAAAAAGAAGTCTGATGAGAAGATGTAGTGATCTCCGAAATAGCAGCCATAATTCTATCGCTTAGACATTTATGTTTTTTTCATTTTTACTAACAAACAAATCGTGTTACAAAGCTCAATAACACTACTGAATCAAAGGAAGAAAATCAGACAAAACTTTAAATAACGTCAGCTTGGATATCAGGTGGAGAAAACCTATTTACCTTGACTTCTGTTGGCAATTGAAAAACAGAGCCCTCTCTTGACGAAAAATACCGCACTTCATAGCGCAGAGGCGAAGTTTTCGAGAAGCCTACAGATCTGTGCATGTGGGCGACGGCATTTTGATGAAAATGATATTGTCAAACAGGCCCATTAGCTGAGGCAAATAAGCTTTAAATTGTGTCACTGAGTTTTGTGTTCACACACAATCAATTAAGTTGAAACAATTAGTGTTTCACTGCTGATACTGTTTTTATTTTGCTTGTAAAAAGTTTTGTATGAATAAAATGGAGAGATTTTTAACTTTAAATAAAATTTTATTGGTGTATAATAGAAATATTGAATTTTTCCAGTCAATACAATCAACCCAGTGGGATAATGTAATGTTTGGGAATGCAAAAAGTAATGGATAGGCCCCATAACCTGCGCACGAAAAGATGCAAGAATTTCTCTACGTCGTATGTCGCTTCACGAAAATATATACAATTTTTAAATAAAAATAAAAAAATAAAGTCCAAGCCAGAGATTTTGAACCTGTGCCCAACAACACGGCAGTCGAACACGCAACCATTCTGCTAGTTTTCAAACTCTTTGTTTTGTTTGTGACTTCAAAACTACACATCATCCGATAGCTTTCATTGCGATGCATCTTTTCATTCAACCATAGTCTTTAATATTATTCTTGGTAAAAAAAGTTAATGCATTCCCATTTTCCCACTGGGAAACTTTGATTTGAATAACATTTAATTTGTATGACCCTTCGTTTTCATGACATTTCCTTTTCTTATTGAATATACCCTCTGTTCTTCTCATTAAACACACTTCACAGGGTTGCATCAGCAGTTTTACGACAATTTGCTACCAATTAGTTACTAATTTCCAGCTAATTGTTTGAGGTTTTATAAGGCTAATTTTGTTGCATTTAGGGGTTTAATTGCTGAAATGCTCTCAATTAGCTAATTAGCGCTGACTTAAACATGTTCCGGACGCTTCGGCAAAATATTGGTCGATTCGTCATGGTTAGACAAAAAAAGTAAGAACGCCTAACTACTTCATACTTAAAGTTTAAATGTGGGTTAAAAGAACTTATTTTGCAAAAATTTAAATTTTGAATTTTTGGCCAATAGGGATACAATTTTCTATAGTGAACTGGAGGGACCTACAGTTTGACGCCGAATCGAAGTATCGAACCTTGGCTCTGTCGCACCNTCCGTGCAATCCGTGCTACGTGCAATGGCTTATCTTATTACATATATCCATAGGGTTCTCGGAAACGGCTCTAACAATTTTTATGAAATTTTGTACACGGATAATGTTTTGGATTTTAAGGTTATCTGAATAGGCATTATCTCCGAGAATACTCGTATAAGATTGCCACCTATTCGAAATTAGTTACAAATTAATTAAAACATCATAATATGGGTATCAAATGGAAGGTATTTTGAAGATCCCTACTTCAAAAATATTTGTAATAGCGTTGCCACCTATTTTGAATCGCAAGTTTATTTAATTTGTTTTTTTTTAGAAAAAAAAAGTAAAATATTACTATTCATGGGTACCAAGAGAAGTTTCTTAAACAATGCTTTCCCTTTATACAAAATGTTATCCCTTAAGATAATATTGTAAGTTTGCCACTAATTTTTGATTCTTCACAATTTATCTAAAATATCGCAATATGGATATCAAATGAAAGGTATTGTGGAGACTCTTGGTCAGAAAATATTTTCGATCAAGGTTGCCACGCTTCTATGTAATACAAATTTGTATTTTGTTAATTTCAATCAGAATTTTTTGTAAGTATACACAGTACATATACGCTCAAGACTTGTACTATTAATTCCAGCGTATTTCGGAATGGGGTTGCCACCTAAATTTTAGAGTAAGAAATTTACTTACTAGATATTGAAATCCAATTTTTTTTCAATTTCAAAATATTTTTTAAAGCTATCCAAATCTTGAAAACTTTAAAAAGTATATGCACTCCGAGCAAAGCGCGGTCAACCTGGTACTATTTCTTAAACCCAATTAAATTGGCTACACTGTATTAACTTTGTGGTGCCAAATTGTTGTAGCAACCGGTGCAACCGCATCTGTGATTTATATGCTACTTTGACTAATGGCCATTCAGTCAAATGGTGTGCAATTCAGTTGAGTTTTTCTAAATGTCTTACGGATGCTGCTGCATACAATTTTCTCTATTCTGTTGAACTTTTACATAAAAAACGATGTACCTATGTATACTTAAATGCATGCAAACATGTTCAAACATAAATATGTAAGCACATGTATAAAGTGGTATCTAGCAAAGCTTATTAACACATTTGCCGCTTTTAATTGCAAAAAAGCGAAGCATTAAAACGAGGGTGCCTGCTGTCCACCAGTGTGCGAATATTTGAAATCGATGACACATTGACCATTAAATCATCAATTTGGAGAATTCAAGCCCACAAAACGCATGTTGCTCGTATGCAAAAAAAAGTATGTTTGAATGTAGTAACAAATAGCAAAAAAAAATAACATCAAATATTATGTACTTATGCAGCCACATACAATTTCCGATTTATGTACATACATAAAAGCTTAAAAGGTAAGATAATAAATGAACGAATTTCGTGGCGTGGCAGCTCATCAACATTGCCACCGCCAATTAATTGGATGGAGTTAAAAAAGGCGTAAAAGTATTATGCGCCGGTGGGGAAAAAAACACAAAAAATCCAAATTTTTTCATTCGCGCAACATGGTGCTTTGAAATATTTTTACAATCGTCACATCCGCTGTGCAATATTTGCATATGAGATGTTCTAAAATACGAACGTGAATTGTGATAACTTTTAGTAAATTTGTTTCGAAATGGCTTAGGCCATTGAACAAGCATGTTCATGTGCTTGTATATGGGTGGTGGATGTTTATTTGCTTGACAAAGCAAAATTTACAGAAAATTCATTAAAGACATTTTTAAACGGAAATTAGTTACCTTAAAAATGAATGAATTTGCCAAAAATAAAAAAAAATGTATATTAGTAGATCGGAATGAATGTATTTTTGGTCTCAGCGGGTTTGGCAGTAACATTTTTCTTGCAAGTGTGTATATGTTTGGGCTTGTGTAGATGTGTATGGATGTTGCGCTAATTTACGGTCTATGCTGAAATTGGGTGCCATAAATTAGAAAATATTTTCTGAGGGAATATTTATAGTTTACAGAATTAAAGGTATAAAATGCGTGTTTTAGTGCTGGATTTCAACAGTTTCGACACAACCTCACTGGAGATCGCATCCTTGGAGTTATAGAGAAAGTGCAAAAAACACGGAGAAATGAGCAATCTTGTAAAAGTACTTTGAAATATACTACATACAACAGGGTGATCCTTAAAATATCAACATCGAAATATTGTATGTGTACACTGCAGGAAAAAAGTATTGGCGCAGAAAATATGTTTTTAAATACATGCAAAACTTTTTATTTTTTTACGCTAGTTTTTAATAAAAATGTGGACTATAACAAAAAACATAAAAATATAATATATAATATACTTTGTGCAAATCTCAGGAAAATTTTAATGGAAATTTTCAGATTTTTAAAAAAAGTTTTTAGAATTTTTCGGAGTATGTATTTTTGCAGCCCAATAAATTTAAAATTTATTGAGTTTTCCCGAGTTTTGCGCAAAGTTTAGATACTTTTACTTTTATGTTTTTTTGGTGTAGAGTGAACCATATTTATATAAAAAATTTGAATAAAAATTTTTGCATATATTATGAAAAACTCTGTGCCAATACCTTTTTCGGCAGTGTTTGTTCTACGCACAAAATAAGGACATCTACAAAAATATCAAAATTAAAAAAAAAAAGTTTTAGAGGTCGCTATCAGACTTTGAAAAAATTATTATTTTCTCATCACATAAATTCTACAAAGTTTTGACTTGAAATTTGACAAATTTTACATATTATTAAGTCCTATGCACACGCTGGTCAAATATAAAATTTAGTAAAACTTTTAAGATTAAAAAAAGAAGAAATTTTTTTAAACTCTGGTTGCGATCCCCATATATTTTTAAATTAAATCTTAAAATTTGCGGGCATGTCTTTATTTTGTACGCATAATAAAATAAAGAGGCGCCCCATGATGTTGATATTTTAAGAACCTCCCTAATACACATACATATACGTTAACACTTAGTATATGCATTTGCTAATTTTAAAAAACATTTTCCAATCTCTTTCATAGCTTCACCTGATTTGCCTCATTGCTTTGGTCTGCATCACCTTAGCAACGGCTCAATCGACCACAACAACACCAAGAAATAGCCCACAGCTTTTGGATGCGCGCGGTCGTTACAATCCTTACTACAATGATCCTTATTACCAGAACCGATTTTTTAGAAATCGCGACTATTACAATCGCGAATATTATGATAATTTGTTTAAAAAATATAATCCAGACATAGCCGCTCCTCAGGCGCGAATTATCGCACAAAATGCTGAATTGCAACATGGCGGCACCTATACATACTCATATGAAACTGAAAATGGCATACAAGCTGAAGAGCGTGGCGTACCTGTGAAGGTGGGCACTGAAGAGCAAAAGGAAGTGGTAGAAGGTTCTTACTCCTACGTCTCGCCCGATGGCATGCGTGTGATTGTCAAGTACACAGCCGATGAGAATGGTTATCATCCAACAATTACTTGTAAGTATACTTGGAGGTTTTTAAAATTAAATTCTATACATACGTACATACATATGTACAACTCATCTTTCCACAAATTTTATATTTTACATATTCCCCTCAGTTTAACCAAGCAAGCAGTATTTACTATTTTTTTTCACAAATATCTAAAACTAATTTCATTGATCTCTACAGATGATGGCCTTAATGCAGAACGTTTTGCACGCCTCCAACAGCCTGCTGATATTGTCATTACTCGCCAGAATTGAGAGGTAAATCAAGATCGCAGCGGATTCACGAAGACCTAAAAAAAAATAATAAACAATGACTTGCAAAATTTGGTTAAAACCTGAAATCTAAATAAATGAAATTAGCATTTTAATAAAATCTTAGAAAAGACATGATGTTCAAACTTATTTAAGTTGTCGGAAATTAAACATTTCATATTTAGTAAATCATCATCAGCTTTAGCACTGAAGTAACTGCTCCTACGTAACTACATTAACGCTTTAACTTTTAAGATTAACAACCATACAAAGAATGCGCTAGCCTGGGCAGGTCAATATAAAATAAAAGAGGTTTTTGATAGCCTGGTCTACTACATAGTACTTTTTTCGTGTATTTGTACATATGTACAATAGACTGCATCACTCCCCATACAAAAAAAAAAAAAAAAAAATCTGTACTGTTTTTCCATTGGAATTATAAAATCTATTATATTTTAAGATGTCCACCAAAATATTTCGGAAAAATATTAAGATTTAAGCGAGCTGGAACGATTTGAAAATACCTCCAAAAATGGAGCTTTTTATGAATAAAAATAGTTTCTTAAAGATGTTTTTTGAAAAAATTCCCTCAAATGACAAAACGATTTAAGCTTAAAAAAAATTACAAAAAAATAAAAAAAAAAAAATGTTGAACGGAATCGTAATAATGAGATTTTTGATGCTGTTTTTTAACTTTTTTCAAAGATTGGTATAGGAAAAACTTGAATAACTGAAACTAACTCATCCGATTTAGACTTGTGAGGTATCACCCTTTTTATTTCATTGCTAACAAGCTCATTCAAAGGCTGAAAGAGTAAGGTAGGGTGAACGAATATCATTCAAAGTTGAATTAAGATGTGTTGGTATTTGAAAACAAAAAAATTGGGACACGAAGGACTTTTTTTGCAGATAAATAAAAATAGTGGGAAAATACCTTTCTACCGAGATCCCATAAGTCTAAATCAGAATAGTTTTGGCCAAGTTATTGAAGTTTTCCGTAAATCAATCTTTGAAAAAAGTAAAAAAAACAGCATCAAAAAACTCATTTTTACGATTCCGCTGAAAATATTTTTAAACATTTTTATGCAGATCTTTTAAGCCTAATCTGTTTTATCATCTGAGGGGACTTTTTCGAAAAGTTCTTTAAGAAACTATTTTTATTCATAAAAAACTCCATTTTTGGAGGTATTTTCAAATCGGTCCAGCTCGCTTAAGTGTTAATATATTTCCGAAATATTTTGGTGGACGTCTTAAAATATAATAAATTTTGTAGTTCCGGCGGAAAAACCGCAACTTTTTTTGGTGATGCAGTCTAATGTACATATGCAGGTATCTTACAAAAAACTTTACAGCGTGTTTACTAAATACTTTACAGAAAAGCTGCAGCTGATCGCTAGGCAATTACATTTTCGTTAAAAAGCTGCGTTGAGTTTTAGCTGTGAACTGAAATGTCAATGAGCGTCTTTTCATGTCGTATGCCTAGAAATATGCTTTGGCACACTTCGTTTTTCGTTTGTATGTGTTGCTTCACCATATAAATAAACACTATATATGCACTTATTTTTATGATGTACTATTATATTACCGCGATGACATTTGTTTATGTTTTTCATATAAATTTTTAACGATTGCTATTTTTAATAGCGCTTATCGCAATTAGAACCGTTTAACTTTGCCATTTAATTGAATATTAAACTGTATGCCAAATGATTTTCGAACGTAAAAATTTACCGCTGGCAATGTACTATATATTTTGATATTTTGTTACACGAACGAGGTACGAAATGATATTAATGCGTGTGTAAGAATTTAAATAATTCAATCAATTTAATTTGTACTAAAAGTTATATTTTACTTGCTTTGAGAAAAATCGAAAGGCTTTTGAATGTCACATTCAAAAGTAAGGTTATACATACTTATGTATTTATATGTCATCATCAATGCGAAAGGCCCTAAATATTAAAATTTGAAATATTTTTATTTTATATTCACATTGTGAATGCTTCTGGTCTTTACAAGAAAAAATATATATACAAATAAATTAAAAAATTTCAGATGATTATTCATAGCATCCAACACTATGCATTCCCTGACGCATTTACCAAAGTGATTTCTGACGTTAGCCAGAGATTAAACAATTGCATCCTTCCTTTACGAGGTTGCTCCAGTTGTACATCCCGAGTGCAGACAGGTCCTTCTACACTAGGTATTTCCAGTGTGTTCGTGGGCGATCTTTATGTCGTTAAAAAGCTCGTACAGTTCGTCATTCCATCTTCTTCGGTATTTGACGCCCACACGAACAGGGCCCCAAAATCATCCTCATCTTTGTTTGACACCATCCATGCTTCTGCGCCGTATAAAAGGAAGCCGTGTAGCCGCAGTGGCCGAATAGAAACTCGAGTCTTACGATTCAAAGGCGTGTGTACGGACTAGAATATTTGTATCGAAGGTTTATGTATCCTTGTGTAAGGCCAAGACCACGCAATGAGCGGAAAAACGGTGAGCGGCCGAGCGGCGCCATACAGAAATTACGCTCCATCAGTGCGTGGCCACTTCAATAGTATTTCATATGTTCTAATTTTAAGCCGCTCAGCCGCTCATTGCGTGGCCTAGGCTTAAGGAGGACCTTATTATTCGCTTGATCTCTAAGCTGACAAAGTCCTTCACTAATTGAAAGTTATAACCGTCAGCAGTGACGTATATCCTTGAACGAAAGCACTTTTTACGAGTTACCAGGAGTTACCTGGTCTTGTCCTCTTTCACCGCTGGACCAACCTCTTTTGATTTTTTTTTTCTAAACTAGAAAATACGCACTGAAGTCCCAAAATCTTAGACCAAAGATATCATCATCATCTGTATGCGCCAGCAACAAAGTTTTTTTCTTTCAGCGTAAACGGGATATACAAGTTTGTACGGCAGGGATACACCGTGCCAAATTAAAGTTGAAGTTTTGTTAAGAACTTGAAATGATCACACCGTACATAATGGCTTAGCCCTTGCGAAAAGTTTCATAATTGTGCGATAGTAGAGTCAAGTTTTCTCTATGGGCACAAAATTGACTTTTCGATGTTTTATATTTCATTGGTCGATTTTAAAAGTTAACATGGTGTGCAATATTGACACCAACGATTTTGCGCTAATTTTATTTTTTTGACGAGTTATTTGCAAACAAATTTCTATGCAGGCTTTTACACATTTTGAAATATTTTGACAGCAGTTATAGAACTTATTGGGCAAAAAAATTAAGTGGCCAGTTGGTAAATTTTCGGTTCTTGTTTTATGAAAAATTTTATTTTTTTAATCAATTGAATTTTTTACCAACTTCTCATATACCTAGGAAAAAAATTCAAAAAGCATATTTGCGCTAAACATTCATAAAAAAAAAATTACTGTACCTTTGCTTGTTTTAAAGCTTTTTACCAAAAAAAAAACAGAACCAAATTCAAAAAGCTATAATACTAATTAACTGAAAAACAAAAAAAAAAAATTATAATTTGATATCTCTTGATTTGATACTTAAGTTTGAAGTGCTAAAAACTGAACCGAAAACCACTCCAAAAAATGGTTCGGTTCGGTTCAAAATGAAAATCCACTATAGCATTTATCAAGTTTTGTAATACACATCTTTGCCTAAAAATTCAAAAATATTAAAAAAACAAAAATCAATGCAAATTTTAAGATAATTACGCAATAAGACTGCATACTCTGATTTTTTTTTAGTTCTGTTTAAAAAACTGATAATAAGAGCCACTGGTTCTGAATGCAGTAAATATCTCGCATAATGCCAAATTTTTTACTAATCAGTAATAATTCAGACAAAGAAACGAATCAATATACGTTCCCCATTAAAATATATGCTAGCAGTTTAACTTGCAAAGTCTGTGACATCATATCAGTCGGATTTGAACAAAGTGACCTATTTATACAAACATATACAGCTAAAATGTAATAATTAATATGTATTTTTTATATATATATTTTTTATTTGAACAAACAAATCCCTTATCACCAACGAAATAATAGCCGAAATGCTTTCATTTCGATGCCCTAATTATTTGGCGTATATAATTTTTTTATACATTTTTGGTTGACCCTCCGGTTGCTGATAAATACTGAGAACCAGTTTCGTTTTTTTTTTTTGCTGTCAGTGAAAATATGCATACAAAATAAAAAAAAAAAACTAAATACCAAATTACAGTGCAATGAACTCGCCTTACTGCTTTTCTGTTAGAATAAAACAGCGATAATAATTTTGTTACAAGGAGGGCAAGGCCGAGTTTATTTATGGTCCAGACTTAAATTTTAAAAAGCCTATAAAAATTGTTATTGTATAAAAATTAAGAAAAAAAGCATTGTAAAAAGGCACTTAACTTCATATGAATATAAATACATACATATGTACATATGTACATACACGTGTGCACTTTACATATGTATGCTTCTATATAGCGCGTGTTGACTGCGTAAAATATTGAAATGTAATTCTTTTTCGGTGGCCCGAAATTCGCACACACGCATAACCATAATCGGGGTTCTTTGCAAATCTGCAAAAATGTTTGCAAAATGTCCGTTATAAATAAATTAATTGCTATTCAGGTTTAGGTTTCTTTGTGGTTTTTTTTCAGAAAAATATTCTTATGAGTCAGAAGAGTCGTAACAAATTTTCCTTTATAAAATTAGGGTGGTCCAAAAAAAAGGGTAAAGATTATTCTATACTGAAAAATACCCCTATGTTTATATTTTGAAATCGAAAAATATGTAGCGTTCGCTCAAAGCGCTCAAAGTTTTCCATATATTTTATATGANGGTTTCTTTGTGGTTTTTTTTCAGAAAAATATTCTTATGAGTCAGAAGAGTCGTAACAAATTTTCCTTTATAAAATTAGGGTGGTCCAAAAAAAAGGGTAAAGATTATTCTATACTGAAAAATACCCCTATGTTTATATTTTGAAATCGAAAAATATGTAGCGTTCGCTCAAAGCGCTCAAAGTTTTCCATATATTTATATATATATATGTAGAAATGGTATAGAATTCTTGAAAATCAATATTT